TGTACATATCTTGTAATTATAATTAATATAGAGGTACATATATGTATATATATCCATTCGTTCTTATTTCGCAAAATAAGAAACCGTCGAGACGAATTATATCTAACTACTGATTGTATATGGCAAATATATCTTTTCTTTTATCTTCATCGATCCTTGAAACAGGATGCATTACAATCACCTTTGAAATATTAATTTAGTAATAGTTAAAACTTATTAGTGTATTCGATTAAACAACTATTAAAATTGATTGTATAAAATAAAACGGCCGTTGAAGACAAATATTTCCTATTGTCCCCTGAATAACTGAATCGTGATGAATAAGATTGGTATATGGCAGTGTAAAAATGTTTTCGTGATCGTTTCGTTCATTAATAATGAAAAATAATTATTCAAAATCACATACGTGACTATTTGTTCGGATGATAAAATTCTTAATTTAGCAGAAACGTACGTCTTCACCAAACTTTTAAGCTTCATAAAAATCTTTGATAATAATATATAATACTTCCTTCTTCTCAATTCATTATTTTAAATTTCAAACTAGTAACGGTAAATTCTGTAAATATGATAGTATTTGTATATTTTTACGTGTGTTTTGTCTATTATATATTATATATTTTTTATCGCACATTAACAAAATAAAATTATTCACGTCACAGTATCAACTTGGATACCGCGTGTGTATACGTGTGAAGGTACTAATGTGGTGAAAGTGGCCTTTACCACGGATTATTATAATTATAGAACAGTAGTATTTTTTTGATTCTATTATGTAACAGAACGTATATACAAGAGTGACTCTATATATATATATATATATATAATAAAGGCCTGACAATACATAGTGTACTTTTTTTTTCATAGTTTTCATAGATGCAATGATGATTAATTTAAAATTACTTAATGATTCTACAGATCAGATATTCGTTTACGCTTACTTAAGCTAAGTCTTTGGCTTAGCATTAATAATAGTAACCAAAGAAATTCAGTATGAATTCATAATTGTCTTTCAATATAAATTTGTCATATTATTTTCAGTATCATTTCAAATGATGCTATATTCGAATTTAATTAAAATAATATCCATAAAGAAACACAAAGATGATGTATTAACAAATATAATAACATAAAATAATTTGAAAAATGCACTAGAATGATATTTTCACATGGAGGATAGCAACCTACTAAGAAATGTGAATTAATCTTTTAATATGCAGATCTATTTTAATATTATTCAGACTAAAAAAATTAGAGCCTAATATAGGTACATGTCAATATAGGTCAAAATTAAAACAAAACTTCTTTAAATCGTTGCTAATATATAACATGTAATACTAGAATTTTGTTATGGTCACAAATTTAATACAAGCATTACAAAAAAATTTACATACAGTCAATAAAAATATTTACAATAGAAATTCCAATACACTTTCATAAGTTGAAATACACTGAATGTATATAATTTATATGTATATATATCTTGTATACCAGAAGTTATATAGAATCAAATCGAGTCGTTCTCTGTGCATGTGTTTCCTAAATATTGCATATCCTGAAATATGCAACATCTTCATAAAATCATAGAAAGAATCTTAAATCTTCTCATAGTACAAATCTTGTCTTATATGTAGACAAAAAAATAAATATTGGTAAACAAATTTAATATTTATCAAAATGCGTAAAATGAACCACAGTTAGATGTATTAAAACATGTATATTGAACATTGACAACTCGTCATCTTCTTGAGGAACTCAGCTTATGCTTCGTTATTATTTTGATTATCCATAACATTTTTACATTATTCCATAATAATAGTGGTAACCCAGCGCGTTTTCTCCTGGATGGACCATTATGAAATATTTGATATCATATACATATTACCTGATTATATTTCGAAAAGAGGCAGATATGGAAAACCTTAAACTATGCCGAAGTAGTGAATTCCTTATGAAGAAATGTTTCGATATCCACTCGACATATAGGACAACGTTTATTGGTGCATAACCATCGATCAACGCAGTCAATATGAAATAAATGCATACATGGAAGCCTTCTATAAGTGGAAAAAGAGAATACAAAGTATTATAATCCACAATATCTTAGTAAAGATGCATGAAACTAAAGGCATAAAACTAAAATTCTTACCTAACACGTTCACAATCTTCGAATTCAGATAAACATATTGTACATTTTTCAATAGCATCTTCCCCGTTTTCCACCTTTTTTACCTACAAATAATATGATGTTGTAATATCACGTAAAACTGCTTTGTCTAAATATACGACGATAAATGCAATATTAAAAAATTTTATTTATTCTTACCCGTTTATATTTATGAGGGAATGTGTGGCTTTCAATGGACTCTTGCGTAGCCCCACAACTTATACCATGAGCCATACGTCGCAAATCAACAATGCGCATGTAATTGTCCATTCGTGAGGGCATGTGACGTGCTCCTGGTAATATAAACTCTGGCATACCTGGTACGAACGGCACTATCTGATGTGCTCCAGATCCTTGCTACAAATGTATTAAAATAATACAAAATATGATATGTTTGAGGAGTCACACACCCAAACTACTTAAAAAAAATATAAAGAGGAAACAAACCGTATGAGGATGGAAACTAATGTGAACGTGATGCATGCGTTGCGATGGCCGTTGATGCGGATCATAATGATACATATGATGATGTACATGTTGATGTATTGGTTGATGTATCGACGGTAACATCAGCGAAGACATTGATTCTACTGGTTGATTATTCAACGGATTTACCTGTGAAATATACATACAACATGAAATGCAGATTATATAATATGATATTGAGAGATTTTGCATGAAAATTAAATTACGATTATAGGCAGCACAGGGATGTTTGGTCCCCTATAGAAATTAGATGGCCCTCGAGCCTCAGGATGACTGTAAACCGTAGGTTGCTGCGGTGGTGGTAAAATGGGAGGAGGAAGATAATTTTCTGTATATGCCGCATTATCCGTTCCATTATTGCATCGTGTACTTGGAGGACTATTGTTTCCTCCCTCTCCACAAGTATGTTGCGTCGATGAATGTCCGTGCGTATTACATGGTCTGATAACCATATCCACGGATGGACTAACAATAAAATTTCATTTTAAAAAAACACAGTCTTCAAATAAGATATAAATATATTAAGACACTAACCCATGATGTATCTGAGAAGATCTAAGATAAAGTCTACGTCTGTGTACTTCTTGCATACGTTGTTGGTTCATCCATAATCTTTCCTGCACAGGATGCATCCTTGGTCTCACTTGTGCTACTTCTGTAGCTGCATCTACAATAATAATATAAATAAAATTTACTTTTATTTTTATTATTTTATAATTATATACCAATACACTATATCATATATTTTTTAACAATTAATATATCAATTTGTAAATCAAAAAAGGGTCATACCTCCTATAGATGAATAACCCGTATGAACGGGCAATCTGTGATTGTGATACGCGCCTCTATTATGTATATTATACGATGTTAAATGATTCCAATAATCTGGTGATCCATGCACGCAGTGTGTGTTATTTCTAAACAGGATTTTACAATACGTGTAATATAATAAAAATTACAAAATAATTATAATTCAAAATAATTCAAATAAAAATAAATATATTTAAAAATATAATTTGCTCACCTATGATTAAAATCTGCTGACCAT